GAGAGAGAGAGAGAGAGAGAGAGAGAGAGAGAGAGAGAGAGAGAGAGAGAGAGAGAGAGAGAGAGAGAGAGAGAGAGAGAATCTAAATTAAGTGCGACGCCGCTCCTGTGTTGTGTACTTTCTTTTTTGGATCCTTGGCTGTTCTTGGCGGCCATCTTCGCCCGAATAGAACGCTCCCTCGGTCATCATGAATGTTGACGAGCTATCTTTCTGGTCCGAGACAGTGATGATGAGGGATCCCGTTGTGATCGGGGGAAGACGGTGGGGGGCTGAAGATGACAATGAAGATGATGTTTAACAGAAAAAATCGGTAAAAGGAATATTGCGAAGGCTAAACCTGATTAGTGATGGTGTGATGATGATGAGGATGATGATGATGATGATGATGATGATGACGACGACGATGGTAATAATGATTATGGTGACGATTACTATGATGATGATGATGATGATGATGGTGGTGACGGATTGATGATGCATTGATGATGACGATGACGATGTCGATGTCGATGTTGATGATGACGACTGAGACCACGAAGAAGAAGGTAAGTCGGTCAAGAAGATGAAGAAGGTGATGGGCATGGTGATCGTGTTGGGGGGAAAAAGGAGGGGGCCCACGTACGACAAATGTAAAGGAGACCAAGAGCACACGTGATAGGGGAGAAGGAAAGATCAGGAGGTGGAGTGAGGAAGTCTGATATGAAACGAGGGACGCTGGATCCGATTTTCAGCAGGTGCAGCTCCCCACAAATAGACTGGAACCTCCAATAGCAAAGCCCCAGGTTCAGAGGTTCACTCACCGCCTCTGGGGTAGTCGCCTTGTGGAAAACAAATGGAAGGAGGGGGGGGGGGGCATCGTGCAGGTAGGTAGGTAAGTAAGATAAGCATGATATGTGCATCTATACAGGCTCCCCCATGTGGCTCACTGGGACACACATAGCGTAACTGACATTTACAGTATTAGTACCTGAGTTAAAGTTATATAAGAGAATCAGCAGTCCGAACCCCTGTTTTCCTGAACCAGATGAAAAAAAGCAGTAATCATGTTAGTAGGTGCTCTACCCCGTTTGTTTGTTTGTTTGTTTGTTTTTTTTTTTTTTTTTTTTTTTTGTTAACAGGCCGTTACGGTCCTGGCTCCGTTTCTCTCTACCTCGTTTTTCCGGTTTTCTCTGAAGGGGAAAAAAAGAATGCAGTGCAATTTTCGCTCAGGTGCGTGTCTATCCGACGAGCTGTATGTGCCCTGACATTCTCTTTTTGTTGTTGCTGTCTGTTTCTCTCTGTCTATGGGGATTTCTTTTTTTTTTTTGCAGTTTGGTCTTCTATTCTGTTGCCGTCATCGGAATCCTGATGCTTCCAGTATTTGCCAGGACTACGTACGTCTCTGAGAACGCTCTGATGCCAGGTAGGTATGTCCTTGGGGAAAAGAGAGAGAGAGAGAGAGAGAGAGAGAGAGAGAGAGAGAGAGAGAGAGAGAGAGAGAGAGAGAGAGAGAGAGAGAGAGAGAGATGACCAGTGTACAGTCCTTCGTTCCTTCCCTCCTTACGTCCTTTGCGACCCTCTTTTTTTCGCCGTCCTTTTCTTGTTTTGATGGGGAAGACTCGATATGTCAAGCTGGCATTTGAAGGAGAAGTTTGACGAGGCATCATTGATCAGCATCCCAGCGCAATCTCAAAAACCGGCCACGATTCGAGAACCAAAATGAGGAGGGAGGGAGGGAGGGAGGGAGGGAGGGAGGGAGGGAGGGATAAGATTGACAGTCAGTGTGCTCTATGTGCAGTCATCATCCCCCCGTCCCCTCCCCTTTGCCTGTATGCTGCGATTTTAACTCTCTTTCTCCCATCCTCTCTACCCACGTCCACGTCGTTCCGCCTCCCCGCAGATTCCTTGCCTTTCGTTCCAATCATCCATCATATTGTGTCCCCTCCCTATCATATCAAAGGGCCACGTAAGGCGGGTCACACTACCGAAGCCTGTCCGTTGCATTGATTTAAGTAACAAAAAACAAAACCACACATATGCCTACAATGAATCACTTAATTCGTCATGGTAGAGACTCAAAACGGCGTCCTCCCATCTTCATTCTCCTCGTTCGCTCCGTTCGGTACATTTCTCCCTACCCTGATTCCGCCCGTGGTTGCGTTGACCCTCGTCATCTCCAGCAGAGGGAGAACGAGCGACCAGCTGCTTGATGCCAAGTTCACACTGCTGGCTACCGGTCGGCTGGGCACTTGGTGACGTCACAGATTCGTCCATACCCTTCGGTCGCTGTCCAGGAGTGATGTACCACCCCTAAAGATTCTCCCTGTTGCCACTAAACCGGCTCGCCGGAGGGGTTCTTGGAACCCTGAATCTGTCAGGGGATTGGCTGCCAGCGTGTTTTAGCTGCACATAGGTAATGCCTCTTCAGCCGGCTCCGAGGCCGCCTGATAGAAAGCAGCATATCGAGCAAGATTATCCTCCCCTTATTCCCTCCTGACCCACTGGAGTTGGACCAACGACTGCGCAGGAGGACGGAACATGCTCGGGAAGTATGAGAGGGGGGGAAGACCGTGGTGGCAGGGCTGCATCATTCTTCGTTCAATCATAAAACACCAGCTTGTGGTCTCTCCTCACAGGGTTCCTCCCGTGTCCCTCCCAGACCGCTGATGCTATCCCCCCCCCCCCCCCCCCCCCCCCCCCCCCCCCCCCCCCCCCCCCTTCCTCCCTCCCCAAGCCAGTCCTTAGTCAATGTTTGGATCTCTGTCTGTGTTCTCAGTGAATAGATCCAGTTTCACTTTCACTGGTGTCCATGCGTTGAGCAGCTCTGTTTGAATCTGTTGCTTAATCGCCTCTGTGAATTCTTCTCCTTTTATCCGCACCCCTTCCATCTCATGTGTACATATCTTTTCTCCTTCTGTCTGCACACCTTTTCTGTGCTTGTGGCGTTAACCTATGGGATGAAAAGTGGTGGTCCCTGTTAGCCACTCGTGGTTTGTTGAATCGGATTTGGTAGGTGAGATTCGTCTGTGGCTTCCATGGACTTGGATTGGGCTGGGGTTCGATTGGAATGAATTTGGTCGGAAAAATTGGGCTGGATTGGATTGCGGTGGACAAGGGTGGGCTGGGTCTGGATGGGATCAGATTGGGCTGGATTGGATTGGGTTGAGCTGGCTTGCATTACGGATTTGATGCTAGTGGCGTTGTTTTCATTGTGCTCGATTGAATTGGGGATTAGGCCGGGGGGGCCAATGTGCTTCGGGGTCTGGGTTTGAGGAGTAGGGTTTTGGGTTCGGGTTGGCAATTTTTTTTTTCTTTTTAATTAATGATAATTTGGCTAGGCTACTTGGCTCGCCTGGCCGTGCAACCCGTGCAAGTCGCCTGGGGGTCAGCTGCACGGGGCATCGCGTGCAGGCAAAAATCAGCCCTTTTTTTTTTTTTTTTTCGGGTCGAGGTTTTCTGAGCATGGCCAGAGGAGCCCAAATCCAGGCTCCTTTCTTTTTTTTG